GTGGTATCAATGGTAGATTTGTTCTTTTTTTTTTTTTTTTTGGCAGCACTGGGATTTGAACTCAGGGCCTCATGCTTGCTATGCAGGTGGTCTACCACTTGAGCCATTCCATCAGCCCCAGTGGTAAATTTCATGTTGTATTTTACCACAAGTGATTTTTTTGGGCTTTTTTTTTGTGGTACTGGAACTCAGGGCCTACACCTTGAGCCACTCCACCAGCCCTTTTTAGTGAAGAGTTTTTTTGAGATAGGGTCTATTTGCCTGAGCTGGCTTCAAACCAAGATCCTCCTGATCTCTGCCTCCTGAGTAGCTAGGATGATACGTGTGAGCCACTGGGCATGAGCCCAGATTACCACAAGTTTTTAAGTCATTTGATTCAAAGACCAAAAACAAAAGAAGAAAATTGAGAAAAGAAAAAAAGCCAGGTGACTGTCTATAGGCTAAAGGAAACGTAATCACTGAATGCAGTGTGTGGTCATTGATTGGATCCTCATCACTAAAAAAAAGGGTTGTAGAGGACATCATAGGGATAATTGGGGAAATGAGATGTGGACCATAAATTAGATAACAGTGAGAATGTTAAAGTTTTGTTTTTGTTTTTTTGGTGGGGCTGGGGTTTGAACTCAGGGCTTCACATTTGTAAAGCAGGCACTCCCAGTTGAGCCACACTTCCAGCCCATTTTTCTCTGGTTATTTTGGAGATGTTGGGGGTAGGGGTCTCATGAATTATTTGCCCAGGCTGGCCTCAAACTGCAATCCTCCTGATCTCAAGTCTCCCAACTATGTTAAAGTTTTAAAATGTCAAAATATATAGTGTACACCAACAGATCACTGTGGCTTCCTGATGCTGTCACCTGAACAATTTTAAGATCCATTGCTTTAAACTTCGATCCTCCTGATCTCAGCCTCCCAGGTAGCTAGAATTACAGGCTTGTGGTACCGGCCACCATTATTTATTTTGATACTCAAATTGTTCCAGCTTTGGCCATCCGGAGCTCTTTCACTCCGCTCCTGCATTGCTTTGGCATACCTACACTGGTGTGGGGGTTTTGTTCTTGTTTTGAGCACTTCCTCACTTTCTGGCACAGATGTCTCAGGCTTATCTTCTATATTTTCTGCCCCAGTCCCAGAACTAGCCATTTCTGCAAGGACCCCAGGGAATGGCCATTTTCATCACGTGATTACTCGCCTTACATAAGGATAAAGGTTCTGACGTGTGCAAATTATTTTATATAATTTGATCAACTTTTCAGGAACAGAAAGTTTGCTAAACGCTAAACTCAGCTGTTTTAAAAAGGGTAACTAGCTTTTAAAAGTTCTTAGCCAGGCTTCATCTAGCCAGCATGTGAAAAGCCATCCTAAGGAGAGGAGTGACTTATCCTCCTCATGAAAGGAGGCCATTGGTGACGTTGTGGGTGTTATAAGGATTTTATACCAAAGACTGATGTCATGGACAGATTACCAAAATGAGATGGGAAAATTGCATTTAGTTCAGTTGTTGCCATTGTTCCCATGTGCACTTGGTCAAGTGTCCCGCCTGCTCTTTTGGCCTCACCTATAAAAAGAGGTGAGTGTCGGAGCCCATTTCTAAGGCTCTATTCAGCTCTAAAATTTGATCTATCAATAGCAGCAGCATTAACTTTGCAATGCAATAGCTTTGAGGAGTCCAGGGTGGGAAGTGAGGGCAGGAATGAAAGTGTGAAAGGTCAAGCTGTGAAATGTAGAATTTGAGAGCCCAGAGGAGAGACACCATATTAAATATTAATAATAGGCCAGGTGCCAGTGGCTCACACCTGTGATCCTAGCTACTCACGAGGCAGAGATCTAGAGGATTGTGGTTCAAAGCCAGCCTGGGCAAATAGTTCTTGAGAAACTATCTCAAAAACACTCATCACAAAAAAGGGCTGGTAGAGTGGCTCAAGGTATAGTTCAAGCCCCAGTACCATACACACACAAATATATATATATATACAATAATAATTAAAGTCTTAATCTTGCCCTTTTTTTTTTTTTCCAGTGCTGGGGATCAAACCTGGGGCCTTGAGCATGCTAAGCAAGCGCTCTTCCACTGAGCTACTCTCCTGCCCCTTAATCTTGATTTTAATGTAACTTCTACCTGCTCCTTCAGATCTCTGGATAATTGTGCTTTGGGCATGTAAGTTCTAAAACTGGCTGTGGAATTGTCTGGAATGCATTCAGACCTACTGTTGCCTGGGTCCCAATGCCAGAGACTCTGATCTGCTTGGTTTGCAATGCAGCTTAGGCATTGAGAGTTTCTTAAATCTCTCTGCCACCCCAAGTTCCCAGGTGATTCTAGTGGCAGCTAAGGGTGAGAACCACTGCTTTAGGCTGTAAATGGTCCTGGTCCCCCCAATATAATACATAGATTACAGGTTCTCAGAGTAGCTCCATAGCAGCCGATGAATTGGATTTGGATAGTGTATTAGTTGCCTATTGCAACTGTAACAAATTACCCAACCTTAATGGTTTTAAACAACACATATTTAATCTTCTGTATTTCTGGAGCTCAGAAGACCAAAACAGGTCTCACTGGCCTAACATCAAGGCATTGGCAGAGCCACATTTCTTCTGGTTTTGTTTGTTTTTTGTGGTGTTGGGGTGAAAACCTAGGGCCTGGCACATGCTAGGCAAGTGCTCTACCACTGAGGTATATCCTCAGCCCCCTTCTGGTTTTCTCTCAGGGGGATGGCCTGGTCTGCTCCAGCTTTTGAGGCTGCTCATCTCCCTGGTTCATGATGGCACATGTCTCAACCTTGTTTCCGTTGTCATACCTCCTTCTCTGACTCTGATAAGGTCTGCTTGTGGCCATACTGAGCCCTCAGGGATAATCTCCCCATCTCCAAATCCTGATCACAGTTGCAATGTCCCTCTGGCCATGTAGGATAATATGTTCACAGATTGTGAAATTAGGACGTGGACATCTTGGGTAGAGGACATTGTCCTGCTACAGCAACTGCTGGACTTATGGGCCCATAAGAGAGAGTTAAGTAGCCTGTGATTTGCGGCATCTCTTTACTGCGCCTTCCCTCTTTTAGCTGTGCTGCGATTTAATCAAGTTATCCACTCTAGTAATTTTAATGCGGGAGAACAGTAGGAAGCCTGGGAGCAACAGATAAAAAGAAGATGGATAGATAGATTTAAATGATTCAGTAAAATCATATTTACAACTGCAGTTGGGTGTGGTGAGTTTTAATAGGCAGATGGTGATCCTTCTCTGGCAGAGGGTGGCCTTCAGACCTGGGTTTCCCTGCCTCCCTGTGCTCCCTGAGCCTGGTCATGCTGTGTCTGTTGGGGAGAGGGGCAACTGGCCCCTCCAGTCCTGCACCCACTCTGTAAGTTGCTCCCTGTCTCCTGGACAGATTGTGAGGGCTGACTGGAAATATGGCCTCAGAGGCAAGGCCAGATGAAGGGACAAGGAGAAAGGGCTGTGGATACACAGACACTGGTTCTGAAAATATGGTTTTACTTTTTTTTTTTTTTTTGGCAGTACTGGGGTTTGAACTCAGGACCTCACACTTGCTACGCAGGTGCTCTACCACTTGAACTATTCTACCAGCTCCAAAACATGGCTTTAGATCAGGATTTGCTATTTACTACTGAATGTACCTACTGTCTCCTGCCAGATAGCAGGGGACATTCATAAATGAGGCCCAAAAGGAAAGGAAAAATGTCTTTCTCCCAAGGGACTGGTTTGACCCTATTACCTATTTTAGGGGTTTCACTCTCTTCTCCCACCAAAGCCCCCTGACGGGCTCTTTCCAGCTGTCTTCAGGGAAGTGGGGGCTAGCCAGCCATTTCCTGCCCCACTGAGTTGGTCAAGTCCCTGCTGCTGAGAACTCTCTCCTGCCAGAGTTTGGCCTCATCTATTGCCATGGCGACAGCTAGCTGCTGCTTAGCACCAGCGTGGAGACTGGGCTTGAAGAAAGAATAGCTGAAGAGGGTACACACTGGGGCTGCTCAGCACTCCTGGAGGTGGCGGGGGCGGGGGGGTGGGCAGAGAAGGCCCTTCTGGGGATTCCTGGTCATCTTTGATAAATTTGTTCTCTCAGGGAGGAGCCATGAAATTTGAAAGGCCTAAGTTTTTCTATTCTTCCCCACTGGAATCGGAGTTTATAAAGTTTCCTGTCCAAGGCAGTCCAGTGCTTACACACATGCACATTCCTTCACGTTGGCACTTTTTGTACTTACACTGTATTGCCCTCCAGCGGGGTTAGAGAGCTGGGAGTATGCATCCTTCTGTGCTGCTTTAGCTGTAAACCTGACCTTTGATCTAGACGAATTAGAATACAGAACTTGGAAGTTCCTATGTGACCTTGAGCAAGTTATGTGAGTAAGGGTAGATAATATTTATTGTCTGGCGTTGTGTTAAGTGCTTTCCACACATCATCTTAACTTTGGGGGAAGGGGACAGAGGCTGTGTAGAACGAGCTGGCCTGAGATGCCCAGATTCTCCCACCTCAACCTCCCTAGTGTTGGTCTTACAGGGATGAACCAGTATGCCTAGCTCTTTGTCCTTAATTCCCATCTTGAGATACAAAAACCAGGTCTCAGAAATTTGTTCCATATGGAGTCAAATCTGAGTCACTCCAAAGCCATGGTGTTGTGTGTTTTTGTTTTCTGAGTAATTTTGGTGTTGGGATTGGAACCCAGGACCTCATCCATGCTAAGCATGTACTTTACCACTGACCTATACCCCCAGACCTCGGGAAGCCCATGTTTTTAATCATTGTTCTGTATTAAAGTTATATTGCCTTAGTTTTTTCATCTATGAAGTGGGGACAATATCTGCCTCATGAGATAATTGTGATGTAAGGATTGAGATAACATCAGGAAAAGTATGTCATGGGAGTAGAGCTCTGGCAGATACTAACAGCAGCATCGCAGGGCAGGGAATGGGGTGGTAACACTCGGTCCTGGGAAATCCTTCAGAGCTCTCTGGTTTCCAAAATCTCAGTCTGCCTCCTTCCCTGTTTCCACAGGTGATTTCCATGGTGATGGTGGCTGTGGGTGTGTATGCCCGGCTGATGAAGCACGCAGGTGAGTTACAGGTCTCCATCCGCTTCCCCAACTCTTTCCATGCCCCTTCCCCTCTGCCTCATTCAGCCTTGCCCCTGCTTCTTCCTTCTGGAGCTTTGGGGCTGAATGAAGCCGCTCCCTGAGGCAGGTCTTGGTGGTCTACTCCAAGATGTCAGTCCATTCATGGCATCTCACCTGGGTTTCTCAGAGCCCCAATTAATCTCCCAAGATCTGCCTCGATTGAGGCTTAGGAAGTGTCTGGAAGAGAGGCTAGGCCTCTTGGAGCAGAGAGCAATCAAGGGCCTTACCCCTCCCTACTCTTCCTGGAGTAACTCAAGCTCCATTTCTCTTCCTCTGCACAAAGTCTCCAGGAAACAAAACCTATAGGCCTGGGGAGCCTGATGCCATTCTTATTCTTCCCTGGAGTGAAAGTGGCCCTCCTCTCATGAACCCAGGAATAAAGGTTCTTACTTTGTTAGTTCCTCAAATTAAACACCACTACCCCTCCTGGGCCCTTACTGCCTCCCCATAATCTTCACCCAGCTACATTGGAGATTCCCTCACCAGGGAAGAATGGTTTGGGGGCACCCTTTTGCTCCATCTCTGGGAGCCCCCTTGGTGGCATAGACTCACGCTGAGGGACGCTTCTCCCCCAGAGGCAGCCTTGACCTGCCTGGCGGTGGACCCTGCCATCCTGCTGATCGTGGTGGGTGTCCTCATGTTCCTCCTCACCTTCTGTGGCTGCATAGGATCCCTCCGCGAGAACATCTGCCTACTGCAAACGGTGAGTGGTCAAGGGCCCATGGAATGACCTTGCCTTCCCCCGCCCCTCCATGTGTCTCCTGGTCTCCTGATTCCCTTCCACTTTGTTTCCTGTCCCACCTCACCCTATCCCTGTGCTATCCAGGTGACCTAGCACAGAGTGGCCACCCCTTAGACAGTGTCCCAGAGGCCCAATCTTTCCGTAGCGGGGGCATCTGGGAGAAGGAAGTGCCTCATAATCCCCCAGCGCTCCCATGGTCCTGGGAGGGGCTGCTGCCCCTGGTGGTAATAGACTGTTACCTTTTCCTACCTGTGTCCGCAGTTCTCCCTCTGCCTCACCATCGTGTTCCTGCTACAGTTGGCTGCTGGTGTCCTGGGCTTCGTCTTCTCAGACAAGGTAGCATTGGGAGCCTAGAGACCTGTTAAGGTGTGAGCGGAGGAGGAAGGGAAAGTGCTTGCTTTAGCCTGTTTAGCTTGATTAATTAACCATAGTGCTCCTTCCCCTGAGAATCATCAGCCTTAGAAAGATTCTCCTTTGGGATAAGTGAATGGCCTTTAAAGTCACCATATTTAAAGAGACTTTCAGGATTGTAAGGTTTTTCCTCTGACAGTCTGAGAGGCCAAGAGGGAAGAAAATTCCATAAACATGAAGTTAAAATAACCTGCAAATTTTAATGGTCAATGACAAAGTGCACCACAAACAACATGAAAAGCCTGTTTTTTAAAAATTATTTACTGAGATAAATAGGAGAAAGTAGAGAGAAAAATAAAATTTTGAACAGTGCTTACCCTGTGTGGGGGGGTGGGTCTGCCATGCAGCCAGTCCTTTTAATTAAGAACCAGAAATCCTTTCTCAAATGGCAAATTATTGCATGGGACCAACTATAGGACTATAGAAGGAAATTGTGATAAAAGCAGTGGAGCAGAAAGAGACCATGGTAGAAAATTATGCAATTGAGAGCCACTTATTTTAATTCAGAATTTCCTAGTCCTGGTTTAGTAAAATCCCAAAATGATACAAGTATGTTGAGTCTAAAAATGCAATTTTCCTATGTCCACTAGAGGTCAGTGCCTTTCCACTCAGTAAGCAAGCACCTTCTGCTAAAGCACACCCCAAAAATCAGTTTCTCCACTTTGCATCAGTCAACAAAGGTTTTGGGGTAATTGTATACAAAAGTAGATAGACACTGTACTATTTTGAAATGCAGCTCTGAGAAACAGTGACGGCAGATCTAGCATTTCTGTAGCCCTTTGGTACCTGAAACCCAGGATGGGCTTTGAACTAGCCAGTCTTCCCTCATTAGGACTTGGTTCTGACTTCAAGCCTGATTCAGATAAAGGGTGATCTGAGGGGAGATGACCTTGATCTTCGATTGCTAGCTTAACTTTGACCTTTAGCCTGGGGGGAAAACTGATTTCCCTCAGGTCTTGGTAGACATTCCCTAATATCTCTTGGAAACCCTGGCCCTTAAGTTATCCCCCTCTTATATTTTGGTATTAAAGAGGAGAGGGCATGAATCCTGTCCCTCTGTAGATGATGGATAAGAGGCTGCTGTGGTTGTTATGGTACCTCCATCCAATGGGGATTTGTGTCCTCCATTCACCAAAGCTGACATGGCTTCTCATGAACTCTTCAGGCCTCTGAAGGGTATGGGCTTAAATTAATGTGTGCTTTGGAGGCTTGCTGATGAATTAGTGATCAACAGGATATGATAGAAACAATGCAGTATGTAAAAGGGAAATTAAAGTGGGAGGAGGTGGCAGTGAATGAGTATGCAGAAAGATTATAGCTGAGGCACTTGGAAGTGGTCTGGGACCATTTGGCTGCACTGACTTTGGTAGCTGTGAGTGTGTTCCCAGAGTGGGTTGAAGAAGGAGCCAAGCCTGTGTTGGGCTGCTTAGGGCTTGGCATAGGGGTGGGAATGGCTACCCTGGCGCAATGACCATACTGTATTAGGTATGAAGGGTGCCCTTCTACCTCCCACAGATTCTGCTGGGATGATAACTATAGAGAAGATGGCGGGAGGGGGGAGAGAGGTGATCCCTGCCTAGTGTTATTTCTGCAGGGGGGAAATACATTAGAGATTAATCCTGTATCCTGATTCCCTATCCGTGTCTCTGGCAGGCTCGGGGGAAAGTGAGTGAGATCATCAACAATGCCATTGTGCACTACCGAGATGACTTGGATCTGCAGAATCTCATTGATTTTGGCCAAAAGAAGGTCTGGGCTAAGTGTGGTGGGGTCAGCTAGTGACCTGGGAGGCTGTGGGTAAAAGTTAATGTCATCCCCAAGAGATGGCTCACTCTCTAGGTCTATGGGCCTCTTCACTACTTGCTAGGTAATAGATTCTGGGAAGGGGTTTGACAAGAGAACACAAATGCGCACACACACTGTTTTAGAAGTATGTTTAAGGATGCTAAGTGGTATATATAGTAATCTACCATTTGTATATGGAAAAAAAAGGGAGGAAAGAATATATTTGCAGAAGGATTCTGGAAGGATTTGTAAGAAACCATTTTTGGTGACCTATGGAGGAATGAGGAACTGAGCAGATTTTTTAAATTTACCTAGTCAAAAGTTACATTTTAAAAATTGTCAAGTATATGTAGATTATTTTTGTTTGTTTTTGCAATGCGGAGGATGAATTCAAGGTCTCGTACATCTTGGGCAAGTACTGTATCCCTGAGGTACACCCCAACCCAGTATTTTAAGTATGCAGATGCATATACTTAAGGCTGTATTAACACTCACATTGTGAGCAACCGTCACCACCAACCATCTCCAGAACGTTTTTGTTGTCCCCAGATGAAACTCTGTACCCATTAAGCACCGCCCCCCCATTTTCATCTTGCCCAGACAATCATCATTCTTTCTGTGAATGTGACTACTCTAAGTACTTACATGAATGGACTCATACAATATTTGTCCTTTTCTGACTGACTTATTTCAAGTTTCATCTGTATTGTAGCATGTGTCAGAATTTCTTTCCTTCCTTTTTTTTTGCAGTGTTTTTTTTTTTTAACTCAGATCCTACACCTTGAGCCACTCCACCAGCCCTTTTTTGTGATGGGTTTTTTTCGAGGTATCTCTTGAACTGTTTGTCCAGGCTGGCTTCAAACCATAATCCTTCTGTTCTCTGCTTTCTCAGTAGCCAGGATTACAGGCGTGAGTCACCAGCATCTGGCATTTCCTTCCTTTTTAAGGCTGAATAGTATTCCCATGTATATAAATTACAGGTTTTGTTTATCCATTCATTCATGGATGGACAGTTGAGTTGCTTCCATATTTTTGCTATTGCGAGTAATGCTGCTATGAGTGAAAAGTTAAATTTTGAACAAAAGTACTTTTGAGACTATTGCTGACTTCCTCTTCCTCCAGTACAACAGACACTTGACTTTGGGATCCAATTAGCTTTCATGGAGTAATTATGGACTCATAATTATATTAAAGCTTGTCTTCTGTATTTTCTCGATCTTAAGACAAAGTTTTTAAGTTTTTAAGCACCTTTAATTATTTCAGCCAGTACTTTCTACTTCTTTTTTTTTTTTGGTGGTACTCGGGTTACACATGCTAAGCACATGTTCTACCATGAGCTACACCCCCAGCCCTAGCCACTGTTTTTTTTGGGGGGTGGGGGAACAGCACTGTGGTTTGAACTCAGGGCCTCACACTTGCTAGATAGGCATTCTACTACTTGAGCCACTCTGCCAGCCCTAGCTAGTATTTTTGAACGCCTCGTTTTGACGGATTCTGTGCAGAACTACAAAAGCCAGAACCTTCTCTCAAGAAGCTTATAGTTCAATGTGTAAAATAATATCTAGAGATAACTGATAATGTAATATCAAGTACTGTAGTGAGTTACAGAAAGATATATAAAGTAGTAGAAACTAAAAGAAAATATCTCAGGTGAAAGTAACTGGAACGCTTGAAATCAAGGTCCAAGGCTGTTTTTCACCCTTGAAATTACAAATGAAAGCTTGCCATAGACTTTTGGCCACTTTGAGAATTCCCTTGGCCATTTCAGTGGGTGGGTATTCTTAACCTCTATGGTGGGCTCTGTTGCAGTTCAGCTGCTGTGGAGGCATTTCCTACAAGGACTGGTCCCAGAACATGTACTTTAACTGCTCAGAGGACAACCCCAGCCGTGAGCGATGCTCTGTGCCTTACTCCTGTTGTTTGCCTACCCCCAACCAGGTGAGCTAACAGCCCACCTCATTTCCTCCAGAGTGATGATCCAAGTTCCTTTCTGATTAGAGCAGCTGCTATTTTGAATTCTCTCTAGCTTAACCAATCAGTTTTGTAGGGCAGCTGTCAAGTGTTTTGTTTTGTTTTTTCACCCCAGTCTGATGGCTCTGTTGATCTTTCACTCTGGTAGCCCTCATGGGGGCTCTGAAGAGGCAAATCTAAAGAAAGAAGGACACCCAGGCCTCTTGAAGAGAAATCTGCATTTAGCAATTTCCAACCCAGGATCCTCCACAGATACTGTGTGACAATTTAGGCCTTAGGAAGGGTGGGAAGCCCATCAGCTAAGGGCCCAAAAGAAAATATATGGGTATGGAAGTCCCATTTGGCTTTTCAACTTTTTCCTCAGGCAGTGATCAATACTATGTGTGGCCAAGGTATGCAGGCCCTTGACTACTTGGAAGCTAGTAAAGTCATCTACACCAATGGCTGTATTGACAAATTGGTCAACTGGATACATAGCAACCTCTTCTTACTTGGTGGTGTGGCCCTGGGCCTTGCCATCCCCCAGGTAATGTACCCTGTAAGATTTATAGGTCCCACAGACTTTGCAAAGACTCCTTTGTTTTGGGGAGAGCACCTGGGGATCAGCTGCTTGTCAGGTACTGACATTGCTGAGGGGAATGGGAAGGGATGGTGCTGACCATCAGGGAAGACTGAGTCAGGGGAAACAAGGGCATTGCTCACTGCTGAGGACCCAATTCCTCTTGCCTTTCTCAGCTGGTAGGAATCCTGCTGTCCCAGATCCTTGTGAATCAAATCAAAGATCAGATCAAGCTACAGCTCTACAACCAGCAGCACCGGGCTGACCCATGGTATTGAGACTACATCTTGCACCTCCTCACCATGGCGACAGGCAAGCCTTATCTACCAACGGCAGCGGGTGTGAGAACAGCACCCAGTGGAGATTTGGATTCCAGCCCCCCAGCAATGCTGGCCCAATGGGAAGAAGCAAACTCCAGATGGGCAGAAGGCAGGGTGCACAGGTGGCTCAAATCTCACAAGGCTGTGTGTCCTCTCCCCCATCCTAGCCCTCAGCATCGCCAGAGAGTAATTTTGTATTTGGGTATATGCATCTAAGTTTTGTCTGGGCAGAGGTGTTTGGGAAACAGCAGCTGCACAGAAAGTTGTGGGAGTCCTAGCTGCCACTTTTCCACTGAGGCATTGCAACAGACAGCTGCTGTGAGGTTGGTGGACATAGTGGACACACAGAGATTCTGCTGCCAGGGAGACCTGGGTGTGGAAAGTGGACACCAGCAACCTTGCCTAAAGTCCAGTTGGCATGATACCAGCTCCAGAAGGGAAGAGAGTGGAGAAGGGAGAGGAGTGTGCGCCTGGGGGTCGGCCGGGGACAGCTGTGTGTTGGGTGGGAATGGAAGGAGAGATGTTTACCAAATGCCTGTCCTGCAATCCTCCCAGGTAGTCAGAGTGAGCTACATCCTGCCCCTCCCTCATTTCCATGGAAACATGGCAGCAAGGGCAAGGAGTACAACAGCAGCCAAATTCATCCCCACCCCACCCCACCTTGAAAAAAGTTTGGAACCATGGTCCCTACATTCTGCAGTTAGAAGTGGGACTGAGCCATACTTGCCCTTGAAATCCTCTCTGGCTGGCCCTCCCTCTCCAGCAAGTGGGGTTTTCTTTAACTTGGCAAGGTGTGGAGGAGTGTAACATTCCCACTCCCGTTCCCCTGCACCAGAACTCAGTGTTTCTACAGTGTAAGAAGCAGGAATTTTGCTGGGGCTGGGGGAGCCAGAAGTAGCAATAAAAGTTTGTTGACCTGGGCTAAGCTGTCCTCCATGAATTTTCCATTCTGGCAACTACAAGGGTCCATCCAGCCGGTGAGCCTTGCCCCCAGGAGGAGACTGGAGACCCCTGGTTCCACGTGCCCCATCTACCTTAATCTCCCCCCTGGGCCCCCGCGTCAAAATTAAATCAAAAGTTTTCCAGTTTTGGTCTGAGGATGGTGTAATTTTATCGCAAAAGCTGACTTTTTTTTTTTAATTACAGTAGATTAATTTGCCACCCAAAGTTTTGGATGGGAGTAGGGAGGAAAGGATGCAAGGCTGCCCCGCTGGAGTAGGGAAGGAGATCAGGAGAAAGACGGCCGTTTCTTCCCCAGGTCTGGGTCTTCTGGCCCCTTCCTTCATCGTTAGGTGAAGGAGGTGGGTGGCGCAGCGCAGACTGCGTTAGGCAGGCCAGAAAACAGTCCGGGGTGCGCGGGTTTTCTCGCGCGCCCGGAGCAGCGGGCGGGGGCGGGGCATCGGGGGCGGGGCGCGCGGCTTCGTGGGTGGTCCTCGCCCCCGCATGGCCTGGCCTGGGCTGCCGGGAGAACGTCCTCCCCGCCTCCTCGTCGCCCCCTGCACTCGGGGGGCTTGGCCTGGCGGGGTGAAGCCGGAGACAAAGCGTGGTGAGTTGGCCTCCGCCCGCTTCCTCCGCGAGCCTTCTGCTCCGGGCACGGCGCCTTTCCAGCAGCCGCCTGGGGCCGCGCCAGCGTTTCTCTCCCAGCTCGTAAAGGAACGGAAAGAAAAAATAAAACCATCACGAGTTAAAATTAAAAGTGAAGGCCTTTTATTCTGGGAGAGATGGGGGGGAGGGGCACACTCTTGAGTAGTGCCAGAAATATACGGTCCCTGCTGTGAGTGACATGGACAGGTCTTGAGTAAGGCGTGGGGTGGTGCTCCCCCCGGGACAGCGGCTTTGGGGAGCTCTCCACGCAGCGGGCTCCATGTGGGTGCCTCTAGCATTGGTGGTCCTCAGAACCAGGAGTCAAATGCGGATTTCTTAGACTCCAAACTACACTCTTACCTGGACTTGGCTAAAGTGTCTGGAATTTCTGCTCATGTCCCAAGACTTTAAAATTCACTGAGCAAGCAGGGCATGGTGGCGGAAGTCTAATCCCACCCTCTGGAGCATCCTGAGTTCAAGGCCAGCCTGGGCTTCGAAGTGAAACCTTGTCTCAAAACAAATAACAAACTTAGCAAATGTTCAGAAAGTTATTTAAACTCGCAGTCCAGTTTTCTAGCTAGATTCCAGTTTGTGGTACCTTTGACTTCCTGTCTCTAACTTACTTTCTCTTTGTTCTGATGCTGGGAGAGAAGATACCCCAGTTTTTAAAAAGCTTCTCATGGTTATTTCATGTTTCACTTGAACTAGCTCCCTGGATTTCTACCTATTTTTAGTAACCCCAGTCCCAAGCAGGAGGGCTTAGAACAGCGAAGGAGCCAAGATCCTAGATCTTAAAACAGATCTAGGACCCAAAGGCAGGTGACTGAAAGGAGGTTCATGGAGACAGCAGAAACTATGCTGAGTGGGCAGAGGTGGAGGGCAAGGCCAGAAAGATGGTGAGAACCTGGCTGGGTGGCTTGGCAAGAAAGATGCCGCCATTACTTTTCTCTTGAGTACAGGAGAGCAAATTTTGCAGAAACTCTGGAACCCTGCTGAATTATTTTTCTATTTTTGCTGTCACAAATTGCCACAAATTTAGTGGCTGTAAACAGCATAACTTTGTTCTTATCATTCTGGAAATCGTAAATCCAAAACGATTTAAATGAGTTAAAGTCAAGGTGTGAGTAGGGGTCACACCCTATATATAGATTTTTTTTTCTTCTGTTTTCTAATGGAAGGAGGATGACTGTTTTTCCTGTACAAAAGAGGGAAATTGTGATCCTCTTCCTCCTATTTTTATCCTTTTTTTTCTTTAATGTTCATTTTGAAAACTTTAGAAAGTAGTTAAAATGACTTTTCTCTCAACAAAGGAGACTTTCTCTTTTAAATATATAAGATAGTTTTGGGAATCTATCTATCTATCTCTCTCTATGTATATGTATATATATAATTTTTTGGTGGTACTGGGGTTTGAACTTAGGGCCTCAAGCTTACTAACCAGGCACTCTACCACTTGAACCATTCTGCCAGCCCACAAAGCCCAAATATTAACCATCACAGTGAATCTATGTCTGCTACAGAGTAAACACTCAATAAATGTCTGGTAATTATTAGATGGCCAGAGAATACCGATCTCACTCTGGCCAGTACCCAACATTTGCTTATTCCCACTGCCCCTCACTTTGTTATTCATGAGACTGAGAAGGGGGGTGTGATAGGCGTCATTTTGTGGATAGATTGTTCACCCCCAAAATGCCTATGTCCTACTCCCTGGAGCCTATGTATATCTTACATTCCATGGCAAAAGGGACTTTGGAGATGTGGTTAAATTAAGGCTCTTAGAACAGGAAGAGCATCCTGGAATCCAGGTAGGCCCAAGACAATCTCGAGGGTCCTATGAGAAGGTGGTGAGAAAGAAGAAAAGGAGACATGAAGACAGAAGTTGGAGCAAGGTGTTCTGAAGATGGAGGAAAGGACAACTCCAAGGAAAGCAAATGGCCTCTGGAAGTTGGAAACAGTTCTCTCCTGGAGTCCCCTATGGAGTGAGCCCTACTCACACCTTGACTTTGTTATTTTGTGACTCATCATCATCCTGAAGACCAATTGTTTAATAGGGACAGGGACCCTATCAAAGGAGGAACAGGCTAGGCATAATGATGTACCTGTAATTCCAGCTACTTGTGAGGCTAAGGCGGGAGGATCTCCTGAGTCCTGGAGTTCCAGACCAACCTGGGCAACATAGTGGGACTTTGTCACAACAACAACAAAAATGGGAACAGCACAGCTTCTACCGGAAGAGTCCTCCTGGTCTAGTACTCTAAAAAGATCAGATACATTTTCTAAATGCCCTCACTTCCCCAGAAATAAGTTTATAGTATGAGGATATTCCAAATTGCTATAGATAAAACACTTAAAAGAGGGCATAAAGAAAGGGGTAACCCCATTCTAAAACTCAGGGTAGAAATTAAGCCTCCAGAATCTTCCCCACTCCATGTCAAGAACCTGGGACATGTCAAGAACATTGGGATTCCAGAAATATTTTTTGAACATCAGTGCTCAATGTTGAATAAACAAAAAGCAACACCGTGATAAGAAGGGAAATCACTAATAAAAGCCATGAAATAAATGAATTACAATATGAAAAATCAGTAACAGATTTGTGTGCCCATCATTCCAGGAGGGTAAAAGAGCTAAATATTTTAAAGTAAAACGAACCATGAAGAAAATTAGATACCACATTTGTCATAGCTCTAGGAGCTAGAGTGGACAGCTCTTCAGTGCCATGTGCCAAACTCACAATGATTCTTCCTTCTTTGGAAGCAAACAACCCCCTGCCCCCAAGTCATAGCGGTGTGTTTAGGTGCCACACTTGTACTATAACCTGGTCCCCTAGCTGTAGAGGATGGAGTCATGCTACGACACTATTGTTTCCTAGGTCTAGTGGTATCAAAGTGTCACAAACTACATAGCTTAAAATAACAGAAGCGTGTTGCCAGGGCCATGCTCCCTCCGAAGCCTTTGGAGGAGATCCTTCTTTGCCTCTTCCACTTCTAGTGGCCGTAGGCATTCCTTGGCTGGTAGTGGCATCGCTGCATACTCTCTCCATCTTCACATGGCCATCTTCCCTTGTCTGTGTCTATGTCTCAATTTCCCTCTCATGAGAACCCCAGTCCTTGGATTAAGGTCTTGCCCTACTCCAGTAAGTTCTCCTCATAGCTGATTACATCCGAAATGACTCTGTCTCCAAAAAAGGTCATGTTCTGAGTTGGAGGTGGGGTGTTAGGTCTTTGACATGCCTTTTGGGCGAGGACACAATTCAACCCATAACAGTCACCCAGCACGAATTGGAAGTCCAGCCAGACTTCCTTCCCTGGGACTTTGGGATTGAGAATGAGATTTTAGTTGTAAAATTCAGCCTGCTTACACTCATGACTAAATAGCAGAGGAAGTGTATTTACAGGAAGGAGAATGAAACCAAGCGGAGATGGGGTGGGAGACGGAGGTCCACAGAGGGAGGAACACAATAAAGCCTGTCTTCTTTTCTTAAGGAAGCTCAATTTGGTTTATAAACAAAGTAATAGAAATTGTAGAAATAGAATAAAATGCTTTCTTAGTTTTCTGTTGCTCCTGTAACAATTTACCACAAATTTCACGCATAAGACAACAAATTTATTATCTTGCAGTTCAGTAGGTCAGAAATTTGATGTGGGTATCAGTGGGCAAAAATCAAGGTGACAGAGCTGCATTCCTTTCTGGAGGTTCCAGGTCAGAATCCGTTTCCTTGCCATTTCAGTTTCTTGAGGCCACCTGCATTACTTGGTTGATGGCTCCCTTCATCTGTTCTCAAAGTCAGCAATGGCAGAACCTGATCACTATGTCCAGCTTTTTATTGGTTGAGATGGGGTCACACTCCCATGTCTGGTTCTTTGTGGCCAGGACAGTTTTCCGATTTTAAGCGCTGCTGTGATTTGATTGGCCACTGTCTCCATCTCAATCACCTCCACCTGCAGAGTCTCTTTTGCCATGTGACAGAATATGTTTGTGTATTCTGGGGATTAGGCCAGAGAAATATTTAGAGCCCATTATTTTGTCAACTACAGATACACATAAAATGTATCATGACCATTTGTAGTAAGAAAGCTGAGCATTTAATGGTCTTTGTACTCTTTATTTCAACAACTCAATCTGCAGCCCTGACCTACTAAAGTTGTTTTTGAGGAACACACAGGCCAACTCTGTCACATTCAAGAACCTTTATTTAGCTGTTTTTTTGTGGGGTTTTTTTTGGCAGTACTGGGGTTTGAACTCAGGTCCTTGAGCTGCCAGGCAGGTGTTCTTACCACTTAAGCCATGTCCCCACCCCTTTTTGCTTTTGTTATTTCTGAATAAGTTCTTGCTTTT